AAATTTGATGTTGAATAACGTTAACCCAATATATATATTTTTAGAATGACAATTAAGTCTTATATGCTGAGTGATCATTATTTTTTAATTGTTGAACGCATATAAATACTCATTTATTTTCAACTTTTGCTATACATTAAAAAATGATTAAAATTGCAATTCAAGGGTCTTAATGCCTCTTCATCCGTAGCAACAAAATACATTTGAACTTAAACAAAAAAAAACAGATACTGCAACAAAACCGTTTAATGTTCAACTAATTCAGCCTAAAATTTCCAAAACTTCTGAACTAAAAAAACAATACAAGTACTCATATTAGCCAACTAATGTCCAGGTGATCTAACTTGAAAACTTTAACCAACGATAAGCATCTACTCAAATTCCAACCGTCATTGCAACAATGGCACACATGCCTGCTGCTAATCCAAGGGCAATCAAAGCATAAAAATCGTAAGCATTCAATACCAAAATTTTATCTACTACTGTTTGCACGTTTGATTTTTTTTAAACAGAATACAAAAAATGACCTTAAGGCAACCATTATAAACATTGAAGCACCAAATTGCTTGTATTATAATTTATGCAACCAATTTATAGGTGGTCTACATTTTTGTGCCGACAAATTCTGGGTGCCACCAACATGATGAACAAGTGTCACTTCTAATGTAAGTTTGCTCCTTAGTTACATCATGCCATTACTTAGGGATGAAAGAAATTAATGATAAAAAATTCCCATTAATTTTAATTTTATCTTCAAGCATCGTGGTTTCAATCATTTGTTTTAAGAAAAAAAACATGTACAAACAAATATATCTTACTATATGCATATATTTGCTTCTTGACTTCATTAACTTAGAAACAATTATATTTTTTATATTATCATTGACCGTAACAACGCACAGATTTTATATTAGTTTTTAATTAAAACTTCCGTGAAAATTCCGACCTACCAAAACGGCAGTTTTCGTTTGTATGCTTGTGTAGTGAAATAAATAAATAAATAATAAATAGATTAAAAATATAGTGAAACTTGGATAATGAATAGAGCTGTTAAAATGAGATGAGTAGTCTTAGTAATTTGTGTATTTATATCATGTAAAATATTAATAATTCGTGTATTTATATTATGTTTTATATAAAAATTATGTATTAAAATTTATGTCGTTACAAAAAATACGAAATATAATTTTTGATTTTTGTTACACCTACATATATTTTTAATAAAATTTTAATCGTAATATATTCATACTTTTTTGCATCATTTTTGTATTGTACTTTAAATTATCAAATCAAAGGAGAAAGAGTGACAAAAAATAGACTAAGCAACATACTAGCGTTGGGGGTCATGAATTACATCTAGAGAGAAAGTAAATACTAAGAGGTAAGAGCTGAATTGATAAAAAAGAAAGAAGAAATTAGAAAAAAAAAAATGATGTGGCCACCGTTGCAAACTTTGTTAGTGACGGATGATGAGAATGAGAAGTCTCCATAATTAAAGGGACATGAGTAAAACGGAGAAAAATTTGATGCTAAAAAATAAAGAAACAAAGTTGGGAAGCTTTTTATGTTCGAAACTAACTTTTTTTTTTTTTAATATTTTCTTTGGATTTTGGATGATTAGTCACATTTGACTGACTTTTTATTATTATTTTAACATTTTTTTTTTGGCAGGTGGTGGGGAGGTAATTTTTTCTCTCAAAATTTTATTTTTTATAATTTGATTCTTTAGCTTGCTTCATAAGAATATGATTGTTGAGGTATTTTAAAATTTTCAACAATATCAAGAGCGGAAAAGTAGGAGAATAAAAAACTTTCCTTTCCTTAAGGCTTTTTAAGATTTTAGAAGAAAAGTGAAATTTTTTTCTCCATTTGTTTTTAATTGCATTTTCAAATTATATAAATAAAATTATTTATCTTAGAAACATAGAAATTTTTTATAAAATATTATGAAAATAATCCTTTTCTTAATATATTTTAAACAAAGATCATATTTTTAATATAGTGCTATTGAAATCTTCATAAAAAATTATGATTAAAAATATGATATTTGTTGAAAAGATGAAATTTTTTTATTTATTTAACAAAGGTGGCGTTTCTAAGATAAAAAAAAAATGTGATCTTTGTTAAAAATATGAAAAAATTTATTTTTTAAAATTTAATAGATGGCGTTTTTAAAATAAAAAATGCAATTTTTGTTGAAAAGACAATATTTTTAAGATAAAAATGCAATTGTTGTTAAAAGCATGAAAAAATATTTTTCAAAATTCAATAAAGACGATGTTTCTAAGATAGAAAATACAATTTTTATTAAAAAAACAATGTTTTCAAGATAAAAATACAATCTTTATTAAAAACAATTTCGCAAAGGTTAATCCATATATTTTTTTTACGTAAAACTAATCAATGTTAAGATTGTAATTAGAATTGTAAAATTGTATTTGTTGAAAATATAAAAAAGTTATTTTTAAGAATTATTTAGTTTCAATAAAAACAATATGTTATTCATGTATCACGTGTTATTCACGTGTTATCAAGTATAATATGATAAAATATTTTATTAGATAATCTTACATTCTTATAAATCAAACGTAAAAATATTAGATTCCTTAAGTCAACAAAACCTATAAATCAAATATTTCCTTTCAATATTACTTTCTCCCTAAATCACTTTTCCCTTTCTCAAATCTAATAATTCTTGAACTAAATACCCTATTTGAGCCAAATCAGGCTAAATATTTGACAAATTAATTATCATTTATCTGTATGTGAGAATAACATAGAATTTTATCTAAATATATCTTTAATTGTAAACTTATGAAAGCATGTAATCTTAAATTAATACAAATAAAAAGTTTGATCCTTAAAAAATTTTTTAACTAAGAAGCAATTTTAAATGGGTTATAAATAGTTTCAAAATTATTGTAAAATTTTCAATGTAATACTTAAACATTAAAAATATCTAAAATGACATTTGGATTGTGAATCTATTAATTAAAATTGTATTCATCTCTAATGTGATTAATTTTAAATGATGATACGTGATAAATAAATAAATTTTCAAGTACTACATTAATTAATAAATTTATAGTTTAAATATCACATTAAAATTTTTTTAAATTTATATATTATATTAAATATTTTATTATAATTTAAAGATGATTCACCTTCAAAGCTCACTGTTCAGCTTGGATTTAACCAACAAACGACACTTGCTTAAGTGGTACGTAACTCTCTTTTGTCCTCTTATTTCTTGCCATTTATCAAAGCATCCACTAATCCAAGATAATTAGTATTAATTAGTAGATTATAAAGCACTTTCGCCACTAGTTTTATGAATGCCATGGTTTCTTTTTTTTTTTTTTTTCTACTGGATTTTTGTTCATGACTATAGAAAAATGCAAATAATTAGTGGATCATAACCAATAATTTGGGTTTTCTATGTTTTTGCTTCCTAGTAACATACCAAAAATGGCTGATCAGCTTACTTCTGGTTGGTCAACTTGGGGATGGTAGGTGCCAATTATTATAAATGAAATAGAATCCTCAATGATTAAAGATGGCCTGCAATCTGCTCAGAAGCCAAGTTTTACAAAGTGGGGGCATAAATCAATGAGCCTGAGGCCACTAAGGCTTTGATTAATGGCCATAAATCGGAACTTGATTCTTCTGTCTGCCTTGTTTCAGTTGTCTAATTTTGAAGAGTTAACAGGTGTCATTTATATGTGCTACATACCAGATTTTGGGAGTGATTTGGTCACTTCTTTGGATGATGATGCTTGTATGGCGCAGTTTCAATAGAGGCTTTCCTCCACGTAGTGTTGGAAAGAATTTCAAAATAGTAAAAGATAAGTTGGTTAAGTATGATACTTAATCAAAAATTAAAAATCAAAGAATATTAAAGCTTGGATGAAGCTTTGGATGCATGATAAATTAATTTATATGACTTACAGTTAGGGCATTGGGATATCTTTGTATAAACATTCGAATGTTAGCTTTTTTATTTTAGAAATATATTAGGGCAATCACATGCCTTATTTGGAAAAGTTGACTATTCTGTTTGAAAAAATCTTCTGTTATGAAATAACACTAAAGTAATCTCATATTCGTATGAGATTCGATTATTTTAGTTCAAAGAATATGTTTTTTGAAAAATAATTTCTTTTGAAATGGGTCACAATAATTTATATGTGATCTTTCACTAACAAAAGATTAATAATTATGTCTGCAATCATTCAAAGAAATGTGTTTTTAATCAAATGAGATGATTGTTAAATGAAACAATTCAATTGAAATGATATAACCCTTAATCAAATCTCCATAAATAGAGATGGTAGGACATATTTTAAAAGGGTTGTTAAAACTTTTAGGAGACACTTTTTCTGTACCTTTTACCTCTTATTTCTATTGTTAAACAAGATTATTTTGCCACTCGTTAAAAGGTATTTAGTGGTTTGATATTATTAATCCAAAGTGATATCAAATAAGGCTTTATTGTATATCATAGGCTATTTTGATTAGCACTTTGCATATCACATTTGATAAAGATGAAATATGCCTAAAAAAAAAAAAACATTTGTAGTTCAAATTCTCACATTGCTACTTTCCTTTAGACTTACCATAACTCCACCATCTTAGTTCTATAACACATGGCAAGGACAACAAATATAATTAATGTTATATCTTACCATTTTGCTTTATGCTCCGAGTCTAAAAAGCAAAAAACAATAGATAAAAAAGAAAGAACTTCATGCTGTTCTGCAGTGACAATTTTCTCGCTCAGTTGTCACCTTATCATTGTTGCCTTTATATTCGGTGTACGGATGAATTAACGACACCGCAGTTATGTTGAATGTGAAATAACAAGCATGAAGAAGGATAAAACCGGCATTCAATGAGCTATTCTGTTGGCTATATAAACCAGAGCCAAGGCACTCTCATTATACATCATCAAGAAGAACGATCCAAAAAAAATGGAAAAGCTGTTTCTCTTGATAGTGACAATGACTGCAGCAGTAAGTTATCTAGGTGCGAAGTGTTTGGTACTTTCAACCTACACGATTGAATCTCCAAAATACAGGGTGGTATACTTAGGATCTGATTTTGAAATAAGATTGTACGAAGAAATGTCCTGGATGTCTGCTCTTGCTCATGGGACTTCCTTTCAGAATTCCACCAAAGATGGTTTTCACAGGTTTCATACAACAAGAAACTTTTTCCCTACTGAATGGGGACTTAAGTTTAAATTGATAAATTCTGATCCGATTTATTTCTTTATCCTTGTATTGCTTGCTTCAGGTTGTATCAGTATCTTCATGGGGCTAACCTTAATGGTACCCAGTTTTTGATGACTGCTCCTGTCGTAACCAGCATCACTCCATCACCCCAAGGGTCTGCATATATTGTAAGGTATTATCTGCCCTCAAAATATGACAAGACGCCCCCTCCACAGCCATACACTGAACTGAATCTGCAGTTGGACAAGTGGCAGAGTCATTGTGTTGCAGTCAGAAAGTTTCCTGGATATGCCAGGGACGATAACATCGACAAGGAAAAAGAAGCTCTCGTTTCTAGCCTTTGGCCAGGATTAATGGAGGCAGTGGAAAACAAGTATAACTACAGCATTGCCCAGTACAATGCTTCAAGACATCCCACAGGGCGCGTAAACGAGGTGTGGATGGATGTATCAGGTTTCACCACAGAAGGCTGTCCAGCCTAGCTATAGAAGTTCGTTTATATCCGTGCAGCAGCAGCATCTAGTACATTCGTGTGACAAAATTAATACAAACATGTTTTAGTTACCTCCCTGTTTAAAAGATTTAAATAAAATGAAATGCTCAGTCCGGTTTGCTTCCACCAAAAAGTGGTAATTCTTATGGTAATTCTTACTAGGAAATTCATTGTCTTGTGTAAGCAGAATTTGTCTTTCAACGCAAATCTCAATCGACATTGTATCTCAAATATTGTTAATTGTTTTCTGCATCATGCCTTGTATGTAGAAAACCAATTAATGTTAAAAGCTGACCAAAGAATTTAAAAGGTAAATGACATATCATTATTCCTCTTCCTCAGGTTGTTGTTTGAGAAGACAAATGAAATTCAAACAGTTGATTATGGAGGAGTTTGCTAATTATAAGTTAATCGGCATTGACATCATAAAACATTATTTCGCCAAATTAAAGCAATTGGAAACATTTGTAGTTCATGTATAGTCATTTATTTTTTTCATTTCCTGCATCCTTTTTCGTCGGTTGCTCTTTGTTATTTTTTTTCCTCGTATAACAACCTTGGCATAGGCAAAAAGACAGCCAAAGGAATGATTACAGTCTAAAGAATAAGTAGAATCACATCTGGGGTCTTGTCTGGACAACATAAACCTTCCCATCCCTGATGACACCTTCGATGTCTTGAGGAGATCCATACAGTTCCTCGATAGCATTTCCAGCCCGAGCAATGCTAGAAAGGATTGATTGTTGAAAGTTGGCATCATTTATCAAAGGGTCTGATGGGTAGTCGAGCACGACTTTCTCTTCTTCATCCATCGGCACACTGCACAAAAGGAAATGCATTACTGAGCTAGAAATTCACAAAAAAAATAAAAAGAACCAAACAAAACCATATGACAAAAAACAAATTCTTGACAAATTTCCTTCGACCAGGAAATTTTTTAACATTGATTAGATGGTGACAAAGAAAAAGGCTGATGGGGACCAAGAACCAAAGTACTAGGCTAGGCAAGAATAGCATTTTCAGTATCTAATCAAAGACATTCCGAAAAGTCTTTATTTGTCCATAAAGAGGCTGGTTATTAGCGTTCAGTCATAGCTTAGGAATTGAAGAAAAAGGATGGCGGTTGAACCGTAAATGTTCAAAGATTCTGATGTACCTGCATAGAACAAAGTAAATAGCCCTATAGAGGTATCTCTAGACTCTAGAAAAACAGTTACAAGCAAAAAATCCAACCACAGCCCCATACATGAACATCAGCCTCTGGAAAGTTTTTATGCGTCCATGAAAGGCTGGTGACAAGTCTACGGTTGTAGATCAGGGGTTGAATATTTTCACCAGCAATTCAGAAAGATGGACAGTTATCCATAAAGGATAGCACAATCCCAACCTCTCTTTTGGTGCCCCAGCAGACAAAAGGAAAAGCCAAACACATCAAATAATATGCACATCTTCCTCTTTGTGCATGATAGTTTGGATGGAGATTACCTATCATAAAGGCCAGCACCCGCATAACCTTCAAGATCTTCACCATTTGAATCAGATCTAAAGATAATAGAACGTCTTATGAAGAGACCAATTGGTTTGCTTGGATATCCCAATACCTGAAATATCTTGGAAATCATTTAGCAGAGATGATAGTGGCTTTGTGATCATATCTAATTTTATGTCAACAAATACGATAACAGGCACTGTACTGACGATTCACTTATTCTGCATTACTTTGTTAATGGCATAAACAATATTAACTTCATATTTATCATGCTTCAATATCCAATTTAAGTAAAATCTTCTATTAAATCTGCAGGCATGTTTTACCTGAGGAGAGTTGAGATTGTTTTTCTTGCAAACAAAACTCAAAGCACGACCTGGGTAAGCTCCAACGAGAGTTTCTCCAAGTCCTTTCACCACCTATTGTCAAACAGAGTGCAAATAATTACTCTTTCTTCCTTGAGGAGAAAAAATTACATGAGAGCATGACAAGAGATGATAAATGGAGATAAATACCTCAGCATAGACCTCAGATGAGTCCCCTGAAGATGGATTAGTAGTATGAATAACAAATGCATAATCAGCATTGATTACTTCCTGAACCAGGACAGCCATACAGAGGTATTCGTGGTCTAATTTGGCTTTCCTGGTGCTGAAATATGCTCTCTCATTCCATTTCGAAGCCCAGACCTAGATTGAATGCATGTGATAAATAGTCAATGCTATACATCAAAATAGAAATCTATGACTGCAAGTCTGCAAAGCACCTAAATTTAGAATTATGTGAATAGAAGGAACAAGTTTTGAAAGGTGAAGTTACAAAAAAAAAAAAAGAAAATGTGGTTGTATGCCAAAAATTCTTGTTCAGATATTTAAACAAAATATAAAGGATATTGGAAGAAAAAAAAATGCAAAATGAAAAGGGTATGCTCTTATTGTTTGGATGTTTAAACAAAATATAAAGGACAAAGAACATAATTCATAAGACAAATAAAAGGTTTTCCCTTTTATTTTTTTCTCTATAGTTTGCTTCCAAAATCCAAATAGTGTGTACAAATATTTCTAATTTTGATCCATAATATAGCTAGTTTACAGTTTGAAAAGCATCCCCGGGATCCAAAAATGGAGATGAAAATACAGAGAAAAGAAATTAGATCAAATGCATAATACGACTGCCTAACAACAATCCTGCTACTTTCAGCTCTTTGGTTGTGAAAACAAGAATAATTTAGGAAATTAAAGTAGTTTATTTTTAATGAAATAAAATACGCTGGTTACACACCGTGCTTTTACAAGAATTAATTCATCTTCAGGGTGGCGCGAGTGAAAATAAATCATAGAATATAGCAGTTAGCAAGAATTGAGGAAGTTAGTGCCTGCCTAGCACACACCATGCTAGCCTAGAAACGTTGATAGAACTTTAAAAGTAATGTAATGATATTGCTAGTCCTGATACTATAATTGCAGTTAATGGAGTATAATTATTGAATAGACACTATTCAAATAAAGTGGCATGATATAGAAATAAAAAATTTGAGGGATCTGCTCTTTTCCCATTCAGGAAAAATGGTATACCTTCTTTATAGCAGTCCATGCTTGCTCCCACCTCTGTTCACCTTCATCTCCAGGCCAAGGCATTCCAGAACTCTGCATCTTGATCTTCAGCTCTTGCACCTAAAGGTAATAAGAAATTGAAATAAATCTGACCAACGGGCTCCCAGAGAATTCTTGGATTCAAGTGCTATCAATTTCTTAAAGATTATCAACAAAGGCATAAAATTCTTGAAAATTTTCTGATTTATGTGAAAATATAGGTAATAGATAGGGAGATTTGAGAAGGGAGATTTTTCTTAGTCAAACAAAGGATTTGGACAAATGAAAACTTTCCATATAACTCCACAAAAACAAGTGTAAGGAGATAATCATGGCTTCTAATGATGCTAACAAGTAACAAATAGGGAATGAAAGCTTCGCAGAAGAAACATCTTAAGCTCAATCAGTAAAATACATACCAATTGGGGTGGTGCTGCCAGCTGGAGAACAGTTTGACGAATTTCCCCAAGTGCACCAAAGTCTCCTCCTCCTAACTTTTTCTTCAATATTTGCAACTTCTCATCCACTTCCTGAGAATTAAGGAGGAGAGAATAGGAGATAAACTGTCAGATAATAGGGCTATCTTGACAAGTAAAATAGAGTACCCTAAATGCATATTGACACTAGTGAACATATTTTGCAGCAGCCAATTGATTATTATTAATTATTATTATTATTATTTTTGGAATAATCTTGTTTATCAATTGTTTTTAAGTTCTAAGTATACTAAGTCTAGAGGCACTAAGTGCTCTAAGAAATTTCACACCCCAATCTGAAGCCAAAGTAGTTAAATCACAATCAAATATCAGCCATACTTATTTTTTTCTCTTACAATTTTAAGATGTAAAGGAAATGGCATTTAGAAGCTTTGGGGAATATTCTCAGTCAGATTTAACTTATATATCACTGGTTTACTTGCAAACCTGCTTCAGAAAATCTCAGTTGGCCACACAATGGTAAAAATCCAGGAGCTTGATTTTGATACCAATGTAAGTTTACAAAGCTACTTAACAAAAAAGGAAAACTGAAAACCCTGACAGAGGTCATTGTAAACAAATTGCAGCTGCACATGCATTTAGAAAGCAGGGAGACATTATTGAAGTTCAGAATAAGAATAACCTTGTTTACTTTATTGGCAAGAACCTTCTCAAATACTCCAAATGGAAGGGCAACTGAAGTAGGAATCCCAACCCAAGATGGTATTTTTCCTTTCAGATATGAGATATTGCGTGATTTAGCACCAACCTAGGAGAAAAAATGAGTCCCAATGCATAAATTAGTCATACACGAACCATAAACATAGTTCAGAGATATAGCATGGAAAGAGCTATAAATACTTCAATATTCAATCTCACTGAAACTCTGCAGGTTTAGAAAGGAAAAAATGAAGTTTTGGAGGTGAATCTGATTTTGCAAGCCTAACCATTTCAGGTGTAAATTCCTCTGCTGATATGGCATATTTACCACCAAACTGCTTTCTGACCAAAGTAATAGATGACGGACCATCTCCCTTCAAGTTACTTGAACTTGAATCAGCTAGCTCACCCTCCTTCACATCACTAATGAATGCATGAAAGAGAGAAAGAGATTCAAATTACTTTTGCATATATGAAAACAAGGGATTTGTTTAATTTCACCTAATGATACATGATGTATTAGACGGACTTGTTTAATTTACCCTTATGATAAATGATGTATTAGACATATTCAGAATTAAGTTAGAGATAGCAGTACCTATAAACTACGTCTGCAGGCGAAGGTTTTAGGCACAGCAATTTCCCTTGGTATGCTTGGATGTCAGCCAGAATATTAGGATCAAAGCATGTAGCAAAGCAAACCTGCAGGTGATATTATACCTTAATACACAGTCAATTATCAGCTATAGAGAAATCTCAATACACCATGCAA